ATATATATATATAATTGAAGCCAACATGACACTTAGGCAGGAGGGTTGCAAGTTCAAAACTGGACTGCACAACTTAGCAACCTTTGTCTCAAAATAAGAAATAAAAAAGGCTGGAGATGTAGCTCAGTGGTAGAACACCCCTGGATTCAATTCCGGGTGCTGGATAAGACAGAAAACTATTTAGAATAATGTCCTGATCAGGCTTTTTCTTTTAGATCACTGGCTCTTGTTGACCTCACTCCTTTCATTGATGAGATGTCCAATGGGGAGTACACCATACTCTTGGATAACTGTGCTCCTCCCCACTGTCTCTCACCTTTGAGAAAGTGCCACTTCCTGGACTTTGGGGTCCTCTTATTCCAACCTCCTGGCTGAATCACTAAACATCCGTACTTTTCTTCTGCTTCAAAGATAGCAATCCAAGTCCCCACTCAGTTTGTCAAATACATTGTTTCAGAATAGAATTTTCCTCTTATCTTTTAATTTTATTTATGGTCATGAGTAGTCAAAATTCCCACCTACCATATCCTTCCTGAGGCTTGTATGAGAGCGAGATAGTTTATGACATCAAAAGGAGAAAGGAACACATTCAGGGTCTCCACATGGCTTTCATCAGGGATGTTACTGAAAGAGAAAACATTTGTAAGTCACGTTGGGCAACTGTCCCTGTCTCTGAGCTGTCCTTTCTGAGTAGATTTTGGCTTCCTATTTCTGAGATGATATTTTCCAGTTAAAGACTGTTTAAAGCACTTAGAGAAAAATATGAATTTAAGTTCCTAAAAATTCCTCATGAATGTCCTTTCCCATCCCTCTTGGGATGTGGAAGTGGATAGTTGGAAAAGGAGGCCGAAGTGGATTAAATGGTTATATAACCATCTGCATCATGTCAGTTTGTACATTTTTCTCTTAGAAATCATTCCACAGAAGAGGATATGAACGAGAGTTCAAATTATAACAATCTTATCAAATGCTCTTGGCATCACTTAAAAGTTAAACCTCCCTACAACCAAGCATCATGAGACTTGTGGGCCCGCCGTTCTAATAGTGACGTATTACTCAGATCAGTGTGGATTCAAAGTTCCAGGACCTGAAAGACCAGCCAAGGGAGAATTTATAAAAATAGTAGGGCCGGGGAGATGGTTCAGTGGAATAAGCGCTTCCCTGGCAAGCTCAAGCGCCTGAGTGCAATCCCCGGTTCTGCCAACAAACAAACAAACAAACCAACAACAACAAAACTAAAAAACTGCCACCTTCACCCCTGGGGACCAAGTTTTGCTTCAGCCTAGTTATTTGCTGTCTTTAGCCACAACATCAATGATGGGGAAACTGGTCAGATTCTTGGCTGACGTGCAGATTTTTAGGAACTGGCTTAAAATTTGAATTCTAAGTAAAAATAGGGAAACTGCTTTTCTCCTAGGACCCATCAAGTTGAAATTAGAGCTTTACTTGAGTAAAATAGACAATTTCACGACAGTTAGTGAGGCAGACCCCGTTCTATCATTTGCAGTTTGTGCTTCTGGGTTGGCAGGTGAAAGGCACGAATCCCTTCTGGAATCTTGATCTTGCAGGTGAGGCTCCCCACCCCGGATCTCTGAAAAGCTCTGGGATTCCCCTTGGCGATCAGCAGGCACATGGGGTGTTTCTTCGAAGAAACTAGAGTATAAAAAGTCACAGCAAATCTTTATTTAGCATGTCTATTTACAACTTTCCACAGTGAGTGTCAGATTTAAGCAGCTAACAGCTGTGCAAAAAGTAACAAGGTGTGAAGTATGGCCAGCCATCAGGGTCACAGCCACAGTTAGAATCAAGTCCAACCAGCTTTCCTTCTAAAAATGGGTACAGAACCAAAATAGCCCCTTACAGGATTTGGAAGACTGAGTGAGAGTGTGAGAGACAAATTCAAAATAGGAAGCCACTTCCCCAGACAGAAAATGTCCTGAGAATGTCACAAATGGTTTTTCTGAGAAATCATTGCCACTTTTTCTTATTTTGAGATTCCAAAATGAGTTGAACAGTCCTTACTCAAGAGTCTGAAAGCTGAAATGGTCCAAAACATGAAATAAGTTCCGATATGATGCTAAACATGGAAAACGCCACACCATGAATCTTTGTGTCATGCACAAAATTATTAAACTATTATATAAAATAATCTTCAGGCTATGTGTACAAGGTATATAGAAAACATAAGATGAATTTTATGTTTATTGGCTTAAATTCTTATTATACTCAACATAGAGCCAGGGTCATCACTTTGTAAATATTCTGAGCTTGTGGAAGAGGAAGGCAGGGAGATGGAATGGGCTGCTGGCTTTCATCAATAAAGGGGAAGAAAAGAGGCTTGCTCCCCCATCCCTTTTGCTCTTGCTGCTTTTGCTGTCTTCTTCTTCCTTGAAGTATTGTCCCTGTACCAGGCCACCCTGCCCTGGAGTCAGCTGATTAAGAGCTGAAACCTCCACAAACTGTGAAGTAATGAAAGCTGTCCTTCCTTCATTTTGGTTGTTGGGCATTTTGTTTCAACAATAAAAGAAGAGTATCCAAGACACTACTTGTCAAGTTGATGGCATAACTACACAGTAATTATGTGAAATAAATTTTAAAAAGCAAAAAAAAAAAAAATTCTTATTATATATGTACAAATACTCAAAAATGTGAAACACTTCTGGCTTTAAGCATTTTGGATAAGGGATATTCCACCTGTGCTGAATAATGTCTCTGGTAATATTGCATATCAATTTCTCAGCTATTAAAAATGAATTGGTAGTAATTGTGAGACTACATTAGTTTTACTTACAAGGATTTCATTGGCATATAATCATGCTCAACTTCCTCATTTGGACAGCCAAGTTCAACGGATTCCCCTGAATCATTGGTATCAATAACATCATCCAACTAGGGACAAAAGGAAGAGTCAGAAGAGTGCAAGTCTCCCAACCAGTCAGATCCCTTCTTAGGTTATTGCCCTGGGCCCTGGGAGAGTAAGCACATCTACTGTTAGATGAACAATGATTCCCATGCAGAGAATATCAACTGCCCTCGCCTGTGTGAGACTGAACTAACAAGACTTCAAAAGTCTATTCTTTCAGGCCCCCATGCTCTTAACGCACGTGTCCTATTGGACTAACCCACCATTCTCACACTACCTTCCAATCAAGCCAGTGTTCCCGCTGCTGTCCCTCACTAACAGTGCTTTTCTAGTGTTGCTTCTTCATCTGGGACAGTCCTTTTCTCTTTCACCCTTTGAAATCATAGTCATGCTTGAAGTCCTGCACCTACCCCAATCACCTCAGCCACCCTGATAACTCTCTGGATTTCTACTGTACAGTTTTATCTAACTTCCTAGATTCTGCATTCCATAGAGTAACCGGCAAATAGATGCTGGCTTATAACTGATACCCGCCAACACAGGATTGGTTGGCTGGACTATCACAAAGACCCTGCTCAGGGAATGCTAGTATGAAAATATTTAGGGGAGGAAAGAAGTTTCTGCAATCAAATGAGGTTGGAAATACTGTGTGTTATATATACCACTTGGCTCTTAACAATGCATCACTTACCAAAGGCTCTGAGAATTCTGTTGATACAAAGCTTGTTTAAATTTAAACTGGCGTTTCTATAATGTATTTTATCCAAGAATGTTTCTTTAAATGAACATGTCATCATCTAGTTCAAAATCCCCAGTTTAAAACATGATGTACTTCCTCACTCACTTTGTCTTCCTGTCTCTACTTTTTTTTCTATCTTTCATTTTTATTTATTTATTTATTTGATACAGGGTCTCATAGTGATCCTTGGACTCAACTCATAGTGATTGCAGTTTGGACTCCTAGTGATTCTCCTGTGCCAGCCTCCCCAGCGCTGGGATTACAGATGTAATCCCTATCACACCCTGTTTTGGTGGCTGGCTCAGTGCACTCAGGGTTCCAAGGCTGGCATAGCATGCAGTAAGAGGATTGAACCCGGGTCCTTGCACTTGCCAGGCAGATGCTTAGACTGCTGAGCTATCTCCCCAGCCTCTACTTCTTTTATCTTAGTCCACCATGGATATATATCTGCTGGGTTGATAGGACTGAAAGACAATTCAGGTTTTACCACTTCCCAACCTGGAAGCCACCATTGCACCTGTGCAGACACCAAGACTGACTTCCCAGGCTCTTCTGCTGCTGTTGCTGTGCCGTTCGCATACTCTGAAATTCAGCCTAACCGAGCTATGCAACAAATGCCAGCAAATCAGACATCCCTGACTGCAGTGGAGAAAAAATGCTACCCTATTTCTAATCCTTGCAAAGTACTTTTTGTCTCCTTGTGGAGCATTATCGTGTGGCATCTGGTAATACTGTGAGCTGATAGGGCACAGGAAGGGTCAGATTCATTGCTGTGGCCACCATGCGAGGGGCAGTCCAAGGTCTCACACTCAGAAGGGCTTCCCAATGGCTAACAGATTAATATATAGCATACAAGTTATCACCAAAGGACTTTTATCTTTCGGTCAGCCCAGAATGCAAAAGAACTCTCCAAATACTATTCTTCTCACAAACAGTACATGGCAGAGGCTCAGGGAACATTTGTGGAAGGACAGAATGACTAATGGATGGGAGGGGCTACCTCTAAGAGAACACTTCGAGGAGTAAGGTAGTGGCTGTCTTCTTCAGTGTCCTCATCGGCCTCTGATGAGGAAACACGTGAAAGACGAGCTTGCCCGAAGCCTGGAAGGCTTTTTTCCATTAGATGCTGAATGAGAGAGATGCAGAAGGAATTAATGGTTTTCCTTCACTTTTCCCAAAATGAAACTCCCCCAAGAGACAGAATTAAACCACATGCTTTCTAGAGAAGCCACAACAGACGAGTTGACAAGATCAGAGGATCTTCCAAGGGTGTATTCAGAGGCCACACGCTTTGAGCTTGCTTCTTCACTCTGGGTCACCTCTAATGAAGGAAATAGGGAAGCACATCATTCCTATTTGTTTCTTAACTATGGAGAGCTGTGACTCAGAGCCAGTGATTTTTGTCCTGTGGGTGGAACTCCAAGTCACTAAGCTCTGCCTTGGCCTCCCCCACCCCACCTTTTTCCATCTATCAACTCCTCCCACCTGAGAAGCTGATTCCTCCCGAGTCACACCCTGGACCTTCTCCTTTTCCTGCTCGCAGCTTATCATTAGTGCTTTGTTCAGGTACCTCTACTGTTTCCACAGCAGTGCAATTAGGGAGTGTTGATCAGGTGACAGTAGGAATTATAGGCTTCAAGGCGACACAGGCTCAACCAATTAATTATTGCCTTCTCTCCCCCAAAGGATATGGGATACTCAAGCAAAGTAGTTCCTTTGTGTGGTAAAGGAATTGTTACAAGGGCAAGTGAATTCCTCCAAGAACAATGCCTGCTGGCAGGGGGTTTCCACACGACTCTCACTGTTCTGGGAGAGAGGTACTTTTTAAAAAGTAGGTGTACAGATTATACTTGACTTGTGGTGGCTCAAATGATGATTCTTTTCACCCCGTGATGGTGAAAAAGCAGTGTACACTTAGGAGAAGTCACATTTCAAATTCTGAATTTTGATCTTTTCCTGAAGCAGCGATATGCGGTGTTGAGCTCTCCAGCAGCCCTGCAGCTATGGGGGGAACAATCAGTACTCTACCGGAAGCTGCGTATTGTCCTGTGTAGCTAAGCTGTGGCATTCCCTAGCTTAGGTGTATTAAGTACATTTTCTTTTTGTTTTTGGTACCAGGGATCGAACTCAGGACCTTGCGCTTGCCAGGTAGGTGCTTAAGCCACTGAGCTATCTCTCCAGCCCCTTAAATGCATGTTCAATTTAGGATATTTTCAGATTATGATGGATTATCTCAGGTTGTAATTCCACTGTAAGTCCACGAGCATCTGTATTTAAGGTGTGTCCATCTTTCCAGCCCCAGGCTCATTGTTATAGTCTGAATGTCCACTCCAAAATTCAGGTTGAAATCTGATGACCATTGTAACAGTATTACCAGGTGGGATCTTTAAGAAGGGATTAGGAGACCCAGAGCGCAGGCTCGGCGAGTGAGTGAGACGACCCTGGGCCTGGTGGTATCCTGAACAGACCCAGAGCGCAGGCCCAGTGAGTGAGTAAGATGACCCAGGCCGCAGGATCCTGAATAGACCCAGAGCCCTGGCCCAGCACGGAACCCTTCAGCAGAACTCCCTGCAAAGAGGCTAGAGGCAAGACCCACCCAGCTGATTCAGGAGCAGAACATCTTCCCAGAGAGACACAAAGGGTTCAACTCTAACGCCTGCAGCAGAAAGAAGTGGAGCACAGCAGCCAGATCCAAGCAACACCCACCTGGAGGAATCTGAACTTCGTAGATCCGGACCTG